CTGGAAGGGTCCCAGGAGGAAAGCGTGCCTCTGAGGACCCCCGGAGGGATCGCCCCCTGCCCCACGGAGAACTCGCCTCAAGGGGCTGGCATGAAACCAGGGAGGCCACGGGAGGCCGCAGGAGCACACCCAGGGCGAGGCGAAGGCGGCTTGCGTTTGGGGGAGCAACAGTAAAGGTGGGGAGAAGTGGCTGACTTCTGGATAAGCATCAAAGATAAATGATAGCAAAGGCTGACCGCCAGTTGTGAAGAAAAGGAGAAGTCAAGAATGACCCCAAGGGCATCCGTTTTTACTTAGAGCCCAAATACCCTGTGAGTCCGAACCACTGGGGAAGGCACATAAAGTCAGGCGGAGACCAGTTCCCAGCAGACCGGACGGGGACGGGGGCAGGAGAGCCCTGGGGCCGGCTCCGAGGCCTGCAGAGCTAGGGGGCTGCCTGACAAGGGCCAGACCAGGGTCCGCGGCACCCAGGCCCGGGCAGCAGTGGGGGATTGGCCCAGACCCTGAGACACGCACACGACACCACACGGTTGCCATGAAGAGAGGCCTCACGACTGGCAAAAGCTTTTTTAGACGACAAGTTCTTCAGTCAGTCATTCGCACTCCCACGAAGCCCGACCCCTCAGCCCTTCCCGTCTCTCCGTGTGGGCCCCCCACCTTGTCATCCATTCCCTCCCAGGCAAAGACTGGCTCTGGGAGGCCTGCCATGCTTGATAATCTCTGGCATTCATCCGGACTTAAAAAACGGAAATCAGACCCCTGAGTTTCATTTGCACACACCAAATTTACTAGGAACGCTTCTGAGGCGCATCTTGTAAATCGGGCCTGTAAGCCGAAGTTCAAATGGAAAAGGAACGTTTTACTCCTCCATCATCAGTGCACGTCCACCCTGGAGCTGGGTTCATCTACTCGGGACGCGGGCACCAGAGCAAACCCACAGACTCCACGGGCACTCCGAACCGATGAGGAGAACGGCGATGCTGGAGATGCACCAGGGCCCACTTGAGGTGTGCAGTTTCAGTATTCGATCCTGCTATCTCCCTTCCAAGGACACAACTGTGTCACAGAACAGAGGGTTGCTATGATAAAAGGAAGTACCACACAAAAAAAAAGTCCAATCAGACTCCCAAGCTAGCGAAGTTGTGCAGTGTCCAACAGGTGCAACCATCCCATCAGTATGTCACTGCAGTTATCTGAGAATGAAAAACGTTTCTTCTAGGGCACCTGGGTGGCTCAGTCGGTTAAGTGGCTGCCTTCGGCTCAGGTCATGATCCCAGAGTCCTCGGATCAAGCCCTGTATCAGGCTCCCCTCTCAGCGGAGAGCCCGCTTCTCCCTCTACCCCTGCCTGCTGTTCTACCTACTTGTGCTCTCTCTCTGTCAAAAAAAATAAATAAAATCTTAAAAAGAAGAAAAAAGAAAAATGTTTCTTCTAACTTATGCATATGATTTTTCTCAAATAGCTACTGTTACAACATGATGCTCCCTTTTTTTTTTTTTTTAAAGATTTTATTTATTTATTTGACAGAGAGAGATCACAAGTAGGCAGAGAGGCAGGCAGAGAGAGAGAGGAGGAAGCAGGCTCCCTGCAGAGCAGAGAGCCCGATGTGGGGCTCGATCCCAGGACCCCAGGACCACGACCTGAGCCGAAGGCAGAGGCTTAACCCACTGAGCCACCCAGGCGCCCCCATGATGCTCCTTTAATAAAATGATTGGAAGCGAACTATTTAATAGATGGAGCTATTACGTATTCTTAACCTAAGCATGTCATGAAAAAGTCACTGAGACACCTAAGGCCCTGTGAACAGTCTAGGAACCACTCCTCAGCGGTCAGGCTAACGGTTTGCACAGTGATTCCTCTTCTGGGTGCTTTCCCCAAGTTCATTCTTCCAACTGTGTGTGGACCCCGAGACCGGTACTATGGCCATCTCTATCTCACGTGGACGAGACCATGAAGCGCCCGAGGTCCCCCACAAAAGACCTCTTGTTTCAAGCAGGCACAGGCACAAACGACACACCAAGCTGGGCAAGGACATTCGGTGGCACCGTCAGTCACGGAACGAGTGAGGTTTCTGAGGACAAATGTTCCTCCCGCGTCTCAGCTGTTGGTCGCTGCTGGTGTGAGAGGTCAGTATGGGCCAGCTCTGCACTGCTGCACATCGATCAGAACAAAAGACATTTGAAGCGACTTCCCTGGGACTCAAGAGGCAGTGCTCGAATCACAAGCACCACACCTTCAGGGTAGGCGGGATATCAACCACCTGCACATTTAATAAAAACTTTACCCTAAGGCGGAAAAATCAAACTCCAACCAGGTACAAAGCATCCCGTATCTGCTCATTTTTGTTGCCTTTTCCCCCTCCTACAAAATTCATAGTGGCAGATGTGAAACCCCAAACCAGAGATCCGGAAGAAGAAACAGCGCAGTCCGGGAAGGGATGGTGAGATCGGACCGTCTGCACGGGGCACTGCGGCGCCTCGAACACCATAAATCCTGCGTTGACGGCACGTGCTCTTCTCGGCACGATGCGCACGGTCAACAAAGAGATGCCACAGATCAGCAGAACTACAGTAACTCCGTCTGCCGGAGGAGAGAGCTGGAAAAGGAACGTGTCTTCCCCAGCATTCCCTTGGAATGGAAACCTGTCCCCATTCTAAAGCAGAGAACGCACCCAGCGCTGCTGATAACAACATAGTCTACGCCGACACCTAAATTCGGATCACGTAAACCGGCTGGGTTTCTTCTCGGTCTCACGGCGCGTTCTGCACGATGAAGACATCACAGGCCGGTACTCAGAACGCCGAGGAGGGGATCCGCCACGCGCCGTCAGCGCACGGTCCGTCCCCGAGCCGTCGCGCAGGCTCGCTGGTACTCACTGGCCTCACGAGTCTTGGTCGAAGCGCGTCCCCCGCTAGGTGGTCCGTGAAGGGGCGGCAGGTTCGGAATCTCTTAATGGCGGGGTGAAGGCCAGTAAGACGCTCAGGGAGCTTCAGAATACTATTAAGATCACTCAGCAGGCTCTCACGTAGTCATGGGCTCTGGTGACCCCAGTCTCCGGAGACGTTCCCCTCTGTTCACAGCGACACACACGTAAACGGCTCCTACACTTCCGTGAGGCAGACACGCTGTCCTTCTCCTCAGAAAGGTCCACTCCACGTGTCCCACGTTCTCGGAGAAAACTCCAGCCCGGCACAAACTTCGCTCTCATCTGGAAGGGAAGGCTCCGCCGTGACGGGGCCGCCGTGACGGGGCCGCCGAGGCCGGCCGGGTGTCCCAGGCGAGGAGGCGGCCAGACCACGAACACAAAGACGTTGCAACTCGGAGACCAGGTGCCGAGTATCAAATCAAAACTAGGAGGAAGAAGGAGCCTCCTTCCCACTGCGCTCGTCGCCACGGCTTAGACCCGCTCCTCCCTTCACAAGACCAGGGGCCGACCGATGGAGCAGACACAGAAGGCCTGAGGCAAAACCAGGACAAGTGCCCCAAAGCTGCAGCCCCAGGCCCCGAAACCCCCAAACATAACTCAAGTGTGAGCTGGGAAGCTCACAAACCCGGCCCACGTGGACGCTCTTTCTTACTCCCCAGCTAACTCCGTCTGAAAGTTCCCGAAGCCCCGTTCTTCCCCCGGACCCAGCGAGGCGGAGGTCGTGAGCCTTCACGAGAGATGCGGTGAGAACACACGACCCGGGCTCCAGCGCTGTACACACGGGGCCCCCACGGACCGGAACTCCGGTAAATCGGGGGAAAGGACGCCGCGTCCCTGGCTGGCCGCCACGCACGCGGGCATGAATGCAGACAGTAAACCCTCGTGTCCATCAGCGTCCACAAGGACGACAATTCACACGCGCGGTCCTGAGACTTGAGAACTTGTCCTCCGAAGCGCACTTGCAGAAAGTCCGCAGAAACTGTCCGAGCTCAGGGTGTGAGACGGAGTTAGACCAGCCACGGGGCGCCGGGGAGGCACCTGCAGGCCCTGGCACCTAACAGGAAGACCACCAGGCGCGGCCCCTGTTCCCGGAGGCCCTGGAAAGCACCTGGCGCCTGCGGGGCCTCGGGACCAGCCCTACACGGACCGTCCTCTGGGGCCGAGGGCAGAGCGAGGTGCGGCGTCCTAGGCAGACAGTCAGTGCACAAACACGGGTGGGGACGGCTGTCCCCGAACGACGGCAGGGTCCGGACTTAGCGGAGACACAGCCCCGTCCCTAAGGAGGTTTCTCACCTGGAGGGGAACCCACGAACCTAAACCTCAAACAGCTTCTCAGGGCTCCGACGGGGGAGCAGGAGAAGCGCGTCCGCCGGTCGGAACCCGGACACCGGAAGGAAGACACACACAGCAGAGAGCCCAGGGCCCCCGCGCGGTGGGCTCCCGCTTGTCCTCGTGGACGCGGCGCCTCCTCGCACAGCCCGCGAGCGCACGGGGCAGCAGCGCACGGGGCACCGGCAAGGGGCTACGATCCCAACAGTCCGAAACTCCGGTCTGCGGGACGCCAGACCTCGCCGGCCGCCGGCGCGCCTCTGACCTCGTCCGCCCGGGCGCGATGCTAGCGTCTGACCGCTCAGAAGTCCCGGCGCGCCCAGGACCGCCCGCCGGCCCCGACGCGGGGGCATCGGCCCGGCCGTGCAGAGCGGGGCGTTGGGGGCGCCGGGGGCGCAGCCTCGTCCGCGGGGGCCGGCGCGCGGCTCCGACCCCTACCCGCCGGCGCCCGCAGCCCTCGCGCTCCCCCGAGCACTTTCCGGGGGACGCGGACTCGGTCCCGGCGCCCGCTCCCCGCCCGCCGCCCCGAGGGCAGCCGCCCCGCCCGCGAGCGCGTCCCGGGGGGGTCGGAGATCGGGGCGGCGCGCGCAGGGCCCCGCCGCAGCCGCCGCCCGGGCCACACCTCCGTTCCGGGAAGCGGCCGGGCCGGGAGCGCTCGGGGAAGGGCGGGGGGCGGGCGAAAGGGGCGGGGGGAGGGGCCGGGTCCCGCAACGGCCGCCGCCCCCTCCCGCGCCCGCCGCACTCACAGGTGACGATGGGCTTGTTCTCCATGGTGTAGATCACCGGCGGCTGCGGCTCCTCAGGGGCGTCCATGGGCGTCCGCCGTCACCGGCCCGGCCCCCCGCGCCCCATGGGCAGCCCCGAGGCCGCGCCGGGCCAGCCCGAGCCTGAGCGGCGCCGCGACAGGGAGGCCCGCCCGGCCGCGCGAGGCAGCTCCGGAGCCGGCCACCCGCCACCGCCGCCCGCCGGCCGCACCACTTCCGGCCCCGGCACCGCCGCGCTACCGCTTCCGGGGCGCGCGGCTTAAAGGGGAGGCCTCCGGGCGGCGCGCCTGCGCTGTCCTCCGACAGAAACACGGGGGCGGGGCCGGGGCGGGGCCGGGGCGGGGCCGGGGCGGGGCGGGACCGGGGAAGGCAGGCGGGGCTCGCGCGTGGACCTGGGAGCGGAGGTCCCGCGCGGACCGTGGAGAGGGCTGCGGCTCGGAAGCCCGAGGGGACGTCTCCACCCGCCCCAGCACCTGGCCACCCGGTGCGCGGCCGCTGCCCACCATGCAGATCCCCCGAGACTCGGGGTCCGGGATGCCGGGCGGCAGCCGCCCGGGTCACTAGCAGCACACAGACAGGGGCTCGACCCCGGGGTGCGGGTGGGGTCACCGACCGCACGTGGACACGGGGATGGCCGCGGGGGTCACCGACAGCACCCCGGAGGACCCCTGGACACTGGCGTGGCCCTGAGAAGCACTCACAGCAGGGGGACCCTGGGACCGCCCTGGGGTCTCTAAGGAGGGGCACGTGGACAGTGGCCTGGCAGTGGCTCACCTTGTGGGTCCCTTCGCCCAGAACGTAGCTTTCGGCAGGTTCTCCAGACTCCGAGCGCCGCAGGGGAAGCCGTTGGGGTTCCAGCATGATTCCCGCCGCCGCGGGAGGGAAGAGCAGCTACTCCTGCCAGACGGCCGGCCTGCGGTCTTCTTGTTACACTGGGTTTAGTTGGAATGTTGCTGCCACAGAGTACAGCAAGATTACTGACCTTCCGGCTGCAAACAAAGATCCCACAGCGCCTCAGGTACTCCTCCGGGCTCCCCGGCCCTCCCCGACCCTCCCAGGAGGTTGGAACCACTGCCTCCTGAATTTCCACATCAGGGTGCGGCGCTCGTGTTAGCACTAGTTCCGTGTGTCAGGGACAACTGCTGAATGCTTGAACTGTGGGACTGTGCCTTCGACTTGCGTCCTGAGCCCTCCCCCAGGCCCACCCACACGGGGCCTTCCCCGCAGGGAATGGGCGTGTTGTGGGAATGCCACAAAATCGAGCCCCACTTTAATGCATGTAAGTTCCCTGTGTAAGGAAAGTCGTTTTGGGGTAACATCTGCAGATGAAGTAAAGTGACCGTACGTGTGAAGTAGTTTGAACAGAGCTGCCGAGTGTGTGTGCATCACGCAGCACGTGCACTGCAGCGGGGTGAGGACGTGAAGAGCGGCGTTTCCAACGGCTGGAGGCTGTGAGGCACAGCCGGAGAAGGAACCAAGGAGGGGTGCAGAGCCAGAGTCGGCCTGGGGGTTCCCTGTAAGTCCTTGGCCTCGGCTGGGCTCAGCAGGTGTAGAATGAGACTCCATGGGGCTTACCAGAAAGTGACTGTGACAGAGTCAAGCGTGGCACAAAGACTAGAGGTTGAGCAGGGCTAGTGGAAAGATCTCACTGATGCCTCACTAATTCCCAGGACATTCCACCGAGACCCCAGATGGAGGACCGTGTGCCCGGGGGTCTGCCCACTTTATCTGTGAAGGCCGGGAGGAATATTTTCGGCTTTGCAGGTCATATACAGTTTCAGTCTTAGATTTTTCTTTGGGACTTTTAGAAAAACAATTATTTAAAAATATAAAAACCACCCTTAGCTCAAGGGCCACATGAAAACAGGGCATGGCCCTGATGTGGCCAGGACCCATACATAGGTTGCCAACCCCTGCCCTAAAATAGGGTCGATGCTACACCAATCTTAAAACAGTGCAAGGCAAAGCCTTGACAAGATGTGCAAGACAGACAGCACTCAGATTTGAATCTTGACAAGCTGGTGACACTTTGGACATTCCTCAGATCCAACCTAACGAAAAGCCTAAAACTAAGCCTACACAAAGTCAAGGTGATAAAGATAGTAATTGAACTGCCAGCAAGAACAGAAGTCCAGACTCTTCTGTAGAAGATGATCCATGGTCTCTACGACTCGTGATTCACCAATGTCCCACGTATGCTAAAAAATTACTACACCTTGAAACCGGAAAGTGTAAACCATAATCGAGAAACAAAGCCGTCAGTAGAAACCAGACTCTGGATGGCCTAGATATTGTCTTCACAGAGTAAGACTATAAAGGTCCCACAGTAAACTTAAAGAATTAAGGAGAAGTACGCGCCTAATGAATAAAGACGGGGGCACACAGCAGAGTAAGAGAAGTATAAAAATAATGGAATGGAACATCTAGAACTGAAAAGCACAGTTACTGAAATAAGAATTTCACCCCATCGGCTTAACAGCAGTTTGGAAATGGCAGAGAGCATCAGTGACCTTGAAGAGAAATCAATACAAATGATTCTATCAGAAAAAGAGGAAGAAGACTGAAGAAAGATGAACAGAGCCTTAGAGACCTATGGGATGATAGAAAGTGGTCTAACACACGTGTAATGGGAGTCCTGGATGGTGGAGGCCATCGGAATGTGGCGGAAAACATGTTTGAAAGAATGATGGCCAAAAATCCACAAATTTGGTGAAAAACCACAACTTATTGGTCAAGAAACTCAGCAGAGGGCACCTGGGTGGATCAGTTGGTGAAGCATTTGTCTTCAGCTCAGGTCGTGATCCCAGGATCCTGGCATTGAGGGCTCCCTGCTCAGGGGGGAGTCTGCTTTTCCCTCTCCCTCTGCCCCTCACCCACTCATGTGCACTCTCTCTGACTCAAATATATAAATAAAATCTTAAAAAAAAAAAAACTCAGCAGAACCTCGGTAGAACACATGCAAAGAAGCTTGTATACAGGGATGTTGCCGACTGCCAACATCCTAAACAGAGTATCCTGAGAGCAGGCAGCTTAGAAAGACAAGTTACCCCTGGGGAGCAATGGCAAAAATTTCCACTGAGTTCTCGTCAGTATCAGCGAGAGAACCAACGGTATAAACCTTTAAAGGGCTAGATTTGTAAAACCTAACCCAAAACTCTATATCCCACAAAAAAATTCTCTAAAAATGAGAGCAGATAAAGATGTTTGCAGATAGAGGGCAAGACTGTGGCCAGCAGGCAGGCTACCGCGAGGCGTGGGGAAGGACGTTCGTAGGAGTGAGAGGAATCGATGCCAGGTGGACAATAGGAAGAGGGGCTCTGGGAACGATCAACAAATATGTAAACACAAATTGTTATGATTTTTTCTTCTTTCCATAATTCCCTTCAAAGACAACTGTTTAAAACCTACATAGTGATGTTGCGGGATGGGTTTGGAACGGATGTGGTTGTGAAAGCCACGGGGATGGGGCGGATGAGGGATCGTGCACCTGTGCCAGGCTGTTACACCTGCGAAGCGGGGCGGGGGGGGGGGGTTCAGGTGTGAGAGAGAAGTGGGAGAGGAGAAGGCTCCGGAATGAAGAGAGAAGACCAAAGTAACACAACACCGACTCAATGACATTCGACCGAAGAATGCTTGTGTTCAGTCCCAGAGCAAAACCACCAGGAAAAAAAAAAAAATTCTTGGAAAGGATTTGCTAAGAAGCTGATAGAGAAAATAAAGTAGACTAATAGAAAATACTTGATTAATCCAAAAGAAGGCAGGAAAGGAACATCAGAAGAGTAAAGAGCAGACAGGACCAACCCACGTGGTCATCCTATGAGAGGAGACTCAGCATCAGTAGACACCAGGGAAAGACAAAATAAGGTGACTATGACCTATCACTTCATGTCTACTCAAGTAGCCAAAATAAACACTTTTTAAATGTTTGGTCTTTTTTTTTTTGAAAGAGCGCACGTGAGTGTCAGAGGGCAGGGCAGCAAGAGGGAGAGAGAGAAATCTCAAGCCGACTCCTTACTGAGCTCAGATCCCAACTCGGGGCTCGATCCAATGACCTGAGATCATGACCTGAGCCCAAGTCAGGAGTCGGACACTTAACCGCCTGAGCCACCCAGACACCTCCAAAATAAAAATGTTTTAAAACCTGCCAATACCAAGCGTAGACTCCCAGGGAAGACCTCCACACGCCAGCCTGTCCTCCCGGAGACATAGTTCAGAGCCTCGGGGAACACAGAAACTAGGGAGTCTCCCTGATGACCACAGACACCATGTCCTGGCCACATGCCTGACTCTGGTTTGGAAGAAGGCTTTTTTTCTTTTTTCTTGTTTTCTTGTTTTACAGTTCTAGGAAGTACTTTTTTTTTTTTTTTAGGAAGTACTTTTTTGTGGTACATTTGACACACAATGTTACATTAGTTTCCAATGTACAATATCATAATGTAACAATTCTGTCCTTGGGGCTGGGCTCCCCGCAGTGCAGCTACCACCAGTCACCACTCGGCCACACTGTGCCTTTATTCTGCAGAATTACTCCATAACCGGAGCACCTCCCACTCCCCTCCCCCCATTTTGCCCATCCCCCCCACACCTCCTCCCTATGGAGAACAGTAGGGAGGTTCCTCGAAAAGTAAACATAGAATGACCATAGGATCTGGTAATTCCACTAGGTATTTGCCCAAAGAAAATGAAAACACGAGTTTGAAAAGATATGTGCACCCCAATGTTTATTTTAGCAATATTTACAATAGGCAAGATATGGAAGTTTCTTTTCTGGAGGGGAGGGAGGGAAGGGCGAAGCTTTCCTGCTGCACTGCAGCCAGCCTCCGGCTCGGGAGCCATCAGGAGACTCCTCCTGGGCTCTTTTCCCTCGAGCAGACCTATCAGAACTTTTTTGTCACATGGGAATTTAGAAAATGCTGGAATTCAGCACAAATACTGGTTTAGCAATTCCTTTTAATAATGGCAAACATGATGCTATTTCTATCAATCAGTGTCTGTTCTTTCTCTAGAACTTTGTCTCCTGAGACAGCATTTGCTTTTTTTAAAGGTTGCTGGAACTTGTGCCCAAATGGTCTT